GTCAGTGGTTGTTGCTATGAGTGTGACGCCTCCGTCTCACTCATTCCCGCTTCCTTCGTCCCCTTATCACACTCAGATACCCACAGTCAAATTTACTCAGACTCAGACTCACTCACAGACAGAACATTCAGGTCACACTCAAAACGCTCATACTTACACGCACTCTCACTCCTGCTCACACTCATATCCACTGATACTCAGACTTGCTCTTACTCAGACTCACTCATCTACAGACCACTCTCACTCAGATGCGTTCATACTCAGCCAAGTCATACTCATACTCATACACGCATACCACTCACAGTATGATCATTCACACTCACAGTATGATCACATCAACAAAGCAGGCGTGGCATTTGGGCCTCCCAGGGGGGGGGGTCCGCCAGGGCGTGTTACACTTGCCCGTTCGCGCCCAGATTGTGGGGCTGTCTCAGGCGCTTTGCTCGTTTCGTTGCCCAGGCCCCTCAGAGAGCAGGCAGCCGCCATGGGGTGTTGCACTCGCCCTGTCGCGGCCAGATTTGCGCACGAAGGGGAGCCGCCAGGGGGCAGCTATGGCCCGTTCGCGCCCAGATTTTGGGGATGTCTCAGGCGGTTTGCTCGTTACGTGGCCCACACTGTTGTTTTCAGAGCAGATCACGAGGATGTCCCGAGCGAGGCGTTTGTTTTTGCACCAAGGGGGAGCCTCCAGGGGGCGTTACACTTGCCCGCTCGCGCCCAAATTTCGTGTCCCAGACTCCTTCTTTGCTTTCCGGGCAGATAGGCAGGATGTCCCGAGCGAGGCGTTAGTTTTCGCACTCCGCAAAGGGGGCAGCCAGGGAGTGTTGCACTGCCCGTTCGTGCCCAACTTGTGTGGATGTGTCATGCGGTTTTGCGTGTTTCTCGGCCTGGACTCCGGAGCCCCATGATCACCGCGATATCGCAGGCCTAGCATTTGGGCACCCCAAAGAGGAGCCGCCAGTGAGCGCTCAGTCGCTATCGGCCAGGATTTGTCTCACTGATTTTCACCCACAGACGGGAGCGCCAGGAACTGAGACGCACATGTGTGGATCTCCGCGTCGAACACCTGACGGCCCCGCGGCCCGGTGCGGGCCCCCGGATGCAGGAAAGACAAACGACTTTTAATGCGAGGAGGCCTCGTTTTGTTTGTTTTTGTTTGTTTGTTGTTTTGTTTTGTTTTGTATTTTTCCTTACTTCGGAAGGGCGGGCCGGGCGTTTGGCCCGAGACCTCTTTGCCATTTCTGATGCTGAGGCTAAACATGGGCAACGGTTTCGCACGGATTGAGGGCGGGTGGTTTTCAAGTTGTGGCTCTCGCCGAAGCGCCGCACGCATTCGTCTTCAACATTTGCAACAGTTTCGCACGGACTGATGGCGGGCCGTTTGTTACGCCTTAGCGCCGCGCGCATTCGTCTGAAACATGTGCAAGAGTTTCACGGATTGAGGGCGGGTCGTTTTCAAACTGTGGCTCTCGCCTTGAGCGCCGCGCACATTCGTTTCAAACCTTTGCCAGAGTTTCATTGATTGAGGGCGGTTTCTTTCGAAATTTGGGTTCTCGCCTTAGCGCCGTGCGCACTCGTGTAAAACAATTTGCAAGAGTTTGACGGATTGAGGGCGGTTCCTTTTCAAGCTGCGGCTCTCGCCGGAGCGCCATGCACACTCGTTTAAAACAATGTGCAAGAGTTTAGTGGATTGAGGGCGGTTTCTTTTCAAACTGTGGCTCTCGTCTAAGCGCCATGAACATTCGTTTCTGAAAAATTGTAAGAGCTTCGCGGATTCCCACTGTGAACGTAAATGGTGTTTTGGAGGGATTCAGGATTGTCAGGGCGCAGCAGTTACGTTGATTCGCGGTGGTGCAGTCCCAGGAACGGTGTTCTCGCACGATTCAGGATCGTGAAAACGTGACAGTCAGGTTGATTCATAGCGTTGGAGTGCTGAGAGTGGTGTTTTGGCACGTTCCAGGATCTTCAAACGATTGTCTCCCAACGGTGCACTTCCCTCAGTGGAAATGAACCCTTGTTAGGGCCTGTCCGCGGAGGGAGGGAGGGTCAGTCCGCGGCTACCGGAGAGCGCCCCTCGGGACTTGGGGGGCTCGCGGCTGTCCTGCTGAGGCTGGTCGCCTTTCAGTCCCTGGCGTGCCTGCTGAGGAGCCCCGTCTCCGCGAAGGGCAAAACAGAGTGCATAAGTGAGGCGATTGTTTTCTTATTCGTTGTTTCGCCGATCGGCGCGGGCCCCCTTCCCCCCTCCTTCCCCCCCCCCTCTGGAGGAGATCTTGGCTGTTTTTGGCGCCCGTTTCAAGCAGGTGGAATCTCCCCCATAGGACACACTGCTGCAAACAGTCACAGTAAGCAGAGGTCCAGACCCAGACCCCCCTCCCCCCTTTTTCCTCCCAATGTCGAGACGCCGAATAAGAAAACGTTCACAAGCGCAGAGACTGCCTTAGGGCCTCGCGGGTTTCTTAGGTCAGCGCCCGATCCCCGCTGGCGGCGCCTCCGGCGCCGCCTTTGGCCCGCTTCGTTCGCCAGGGGGGGGTCCAGCGCCGCCTGAGCAAAGTTCCGCGCGGACCTCCATCAGTTGATGTGTCTGTGCTAGGGGGGGAGAGGATGAGGAGAAGTACACTGGGGGCGCGCATCAAGAGACCAGATGCCTTTGGTCAGGGTGCCCTAGGTTTCTACGCTCCCCGCGCTGGGCGGTGACTTCCCGCGGCCGTTGAAGAAGCTGATGCGTTCAGGGTGCTCTGGGTTTCCCCCTTAGGTGCAGCCCCCGCGCGGGTTTCCAGTGCTGGGTCTCTTGCGATGTTTTCTTGCGGCCGCGTCCGCACTGTATGAGGATGAGCATGCGGCTGAGAGTGAGAATCCTGAGGAAGAGGAAGAGGCAGACTAAGATGATAATGATGATGATGAGGATAGCGATAATACCGACGACGACGACGGCGACGACGACGACGAACGACGACGACGAAGACGAGGACGACGAGGATGAGCAGGAGGTGGCGGATGATGATGATGATGATGATGATGATGATGATGATGATGATGATGATGATGATGATGATGCTGATGCTAGTGGTGATGATGGTGATGGTGATGGTGATGGTGATGGTGATGATGATGATCATGATCATGATCATGATGTTGATGATGATGATGATGATGATGATGATGATCATGATGTTGATGATGATCATGATGATGATAATGATAATAGTGGTGTGGTGGCTGTTTGTGGTGGTGGTGATGGTGATGGTTAAGATGATGATTACGATGCTGATGATGCTGATGGTGGTGATGATGGTGATGGAGAGGCTGTCGATGACGATGATGACAACGACAACGATGACGATGACGACGATGACGATGATGATGCTGCTGATGATGATGAAGAGGATGAGGATTGTGATTGTGATTGTGATGGTGAGGGTGGTGGTGGTGGTGGTTGTGATGGTCATAGTGATTCCGGTGGTGATTGTGATGGCAATGTTGATGATGGTGGTGATGATGAGGAGGAAGAACCGAAGGAACAGAGGAAAGAGGAAACGCAGGCGGAGGAGGAGGACGACGAGGAGGAGGAGGACGAGGAGGAGAAGGAGAAGGAGGGCGAGAGGGGGGAGGAGCGGCAGCAGTATAAGCAAGAGCGGGACGAGGAGGTCGAGAAGGAGGAGGAGGAGGAGTTTTTTCATTAGTATCTTTATTATCATCATTGCTCTTCTTTTTCTTCTTCTCATGGTTATTCTTCTGCAATGAGCGGGTCCTAAGTGCTAGCTTGGCCGCAGATATTTCACCGTCCTCAAAGCTCATGCCAAGACATCCCAGACTTAGGGGTGAGGCTACGGCTGAGACGGGACAGTGTCACACTACCAGCAGCGGTAGGGGATAAACAAGGCTTCTTCAAGTTGCGGGGGTGGTGTGCACAAAACGACCCGCAAGTAGCACAACAAAACGCCTCTGAGCACCTCCCACGTGTGAGACGGATGTCAGTCAGCAGCCCATGGGTGCCCCGAAACGCCTTCCACACGCAAGGGGGGGGTCAACACGGTCAGGATGGTTCTCATCAGCAAGAAGCCTGGTAAAAAGTCCTGAACCTCCTCGAGGCTTGCACATACAGGGCCAGAAATCAGACAGAGGGCCCATCCGCAAGGAAGAGCGGGTGCATCTACAGCACCACAACACTCTGCTTTGCCACAGGGTCATGCCCAGCAGCACGGAGCCTCGCAGACCGACTATTCAAAGAAAGGTCCACGCCTTTCTTACGTCGCACAGGGAGGTCCACACGTGCAGACTTGGACCGATTGGAGGAGAAGAGGACCTCACGCTGAGTAGCATGCAGTCGACCGATAACCTGCGCCTACAGGTCATCTGCAGCCGCCGTCCTCTGGACAAGGTCAGGCGGTACAGCACCAGCCGCTGCACCTTTGCCGGCAAAGAAACCTGCAATCTGATTCACATACAATTCGCTATGGCGCAATCCGAGGTTCTCTGCCTGACTCTGGGTGGGGTGGGCCTTGGTCCAGAGAATGTTACATGTGCCAGGCCCATGGGACAACACATCGTGCACACGGGCCCACAGATCGAGCATGGGAGACTTCGAGTAAGCGATCAGGGGCTTACGAAACCCTTTGGAGGAGGAGGTGGAAGGGGGATCGAGTATCAGGAGGAGGAGGAGGAGAAGGAGCGGGAAGAGGAGGAGGATGATCACCATCATCAGGAGTGCGATGATGGTGATGATGATGATGATGCTGATGATGATGATGATGGTGCTGATGATGGTGATGATGATTAAGATGATGGTGATGATGATGCTGATTACGATGATGATGATGATGATGATGATGATGATGATGATGATGATGACGATGCTGATGAGGAGGAGGAGGCGGATGATGATATGCTGCTGCTGATGATGCTGATGATGCTGATGATGGTTATGACGAAAAGGATGACGGTCATAGTGGAGGTGGTGATGGTGATGATGATGATGGTGAGGAGGAGGAGGATGAGGATGTTGATGATGATGCTGATGATGATGACGACGATACTGATGGTGATGATGAAGATGAGGAGGAGGAGAAGAAGGATCAGGACCCGGTGGAGGATGAGGAGGAAGAAGAGGAGGAGGGCCCTCCTCGCTCCAGAGGGACGTCGTAATCCTCGCCACGGTCTGGGTCAACTACTTCGTGATGCGCTGCAGGCCCCCGTGGCGGCCTCCGCCTGCCGAGAGTCTCTGCTTCCTCGGCGTTGGCGCCTAGCGCGTAGGAGGAGGGGGATGAAGCCGCACTGTTTCTGAGGAGGACCGGGATGATGATGATGCTGATGCTGATGATGATGATGCTGATGATGATTATGATGATGCTGCTGCTGATGATGATGGTGATGCTGATGCTGATGATGATGATGATGCTGCTGATGATGATGATGATGCTGATACTGCCGATGATGATGACGTTGATGATGATGATGATGATGCTGACGATGATGACGATGATGACGATGATGATGGTGATGGTGATGATCATGTTGATGATGATGATGCTGATGATGATGCTGATGGTGGTGGTGGTGCTGATGATGAGGATGATGATGATGATGCTGATGGTGCAGACGATGGTGGTGAGTATGATTACGATGCTGATGATGATGCTGATAAGGATGTGTGATGAGGATGATTGTGATGTTCAGGATGCTGATGATGATGGCAATGATGATGCTGCTGCTGATGATGATGATGATCGTGGTGATGCTGCTGATGATGATGCTGATGCTGATTATGCTGATGCTGATGATGGTGATGCTTCTGCTGCTGATGGTGATTTTGATGATGATGACGATGCGGCTGCTGATGCTGATGATGAGGATGATGAGCATGACGCGGAGAAGGAGGAGGAGGGCGAGGAGGAGACGGATGATGATGATGCTGCTGCTGATGCTGATGATGTTGATGATGGTGATGATGCTGATGATGATGCTGATGGTGCTGATGATGCTGGTGATGATGAAGACGATAACGATGCTGTTGATGATGCCGATGATGCTGCTGATGGTTATGATGCTGATGATGCTGACGATGGCGGTGATGCTGATATCGATGACAATCACTGTTCTGCTGCTGCTGATGGTAATGCTGATGATGATGTGTGGTGAGGATGATGGTGATGTTAAGTACGCTGATGGTGATGGCGATGATGAGGCTGCTGCTGCTGCTGAAGATGATGATGATCATGCTGTTGCTGCTGAAGATGATGATGACGATTCTGATCATGAAGTCGAAGATAGTGGTGGTGGTGATGATGGCGATGCTGATGCTGATGCTGATGCTGATGCTGGCGACGATGATGATGATGATGATGATGATGATGATGATGATGATGATGATGATGATGATGATGATGATGATGATGATGATTCTGATGGTGGTGGTGGTGAGGAGGAGGAGGATGAGGAGGTGTTAGATCATGGCCATGTCATTTGGTAATCAACGCAGTTTAGGGGTTCCAGTGGTGCATCTTAGTGGTGGTCCGCAACCGTGTGGCTCAAGTTCTACTGCCTTCTCAGCGCAAGGCTCCTCCTTGATTTTCGTGGTAGCGGAGCCCGTGGTTCGCCCCGCGGGTTCGAGTGCAGAGGTGGCAGCGGCGGCCGCTGCAGCGACCCCAATGGGCCCTGGCAGCCACGTCCCGGGCCACAATGTAACCTTACGTGATGTCCGAGAGGCCTGGTACAATCTGAGCACGAATCGGTTTGCGGAACTGTGCAACGCCTGTTTTCAGAACGGAGATGTCAGGTATTTTATCACTGCCCCCAAGGCCATTCTTGAAGGGATGCTATTGTTCTTCGAGCGCAGCGTCACACTTGGCACCATAATGGTTGACGACGATGAGGCGTTCACGATGTTACAGGTGAGCTACAACATGTCTGCCCTGATTTTGGTCAGACGCCGCAACCTGCACTGCGAGGAACAGTTCAACAACTTGAAGGAACACGCCAGGACAGAACTCCAACGTCAAGCGAACGCCCCGGAGCATTTGGCCAACATTGCCGAAGCTATGCGGTCCGCTGGAGGCACGAGGAACCAGTCAACGAGTTCAGGGCCGTTCAACAGCTGTATAGGTTCTCGGGTGGCAGTGTCTAAAGTAGGGAGTAGAACGAGAAGTTG